TTCTTTATCCCCTCCCTTCACCCATGAGAGGGACTTTGCATTGATTACCACTCTATCTCCAGTCCCTGTATTGAACAATAAATAATCATTTCATGAAGAATGCAGGAACCACAGAGCTGGGCACACAAGAGGTGTTAAAGAAAATGATTACTAGATGAATCAGAGATCTATCATCCAAGGAGTAATCTTGAAGTCTTATGATTTTTTATTTACTTTTGAAAACTAGCTCTTTTTCTGTTTTCCTCTCTCTTATGTACCCACGGTAGCTAATATCACAATTAATTTTGAAAGATCAGACATGTGAGTCACTATTAACTCTCAGTAATAGTATATGTAATGTTATAGATTATACAAAATAATATGAACATTAGGGTGGACTTCCACAATGTTTTGGGAACACAGGGCAAATTTAGGAGTGGGTCTCTTCTTGGTCATTCCATTGACAAAGCCTTCTCATCAAGGCCCTTACCAAGCTCAGCTTTCATCTGCTGCCAGGCCTGCCAACGCACTCTAGTTTCTCATCTCAGACCTCAATTATTTTGTAAGGCACAGAATACAGCTTTTTGGTGTACACAGAAAATGGTAGAAAATTCAGGCTATTGGGGAAAATTGTATGTACAAAAATGAACCTACTTGTTAGAGAAAACAACCTCTGTTAGTTCTCCAGTTGAGACCGTGGTTATTTATAATAATATGAATGAGTAGGACAGAAATGAAGGCTGTCACTGCCACAGGCCATTTGTCTGGAATAAAGGAAGAAAACCCTGTCTGATGTGTTCTAAAGAAGGTTCCTTAGATTTTTCATTACTTCTTGACTTTAGACTTTGTGATAGAGTATCTAGGATTGAACTTCTTTGATATCTCTTGAAAACACAAGAAAAGGACTGGCTTATGACCTTGATATTGATATGAGTTTCTCTTTGGTCAAATATGAAGTTCTTAAAAGTTAAGCTGAGTTGTATCTCTTCAGAGGTCATCTGTGGGACCCTGGTGACTAGAGGCACACACCTGTTCTACACTGCAGTGTTCTGTTGGGGAAGGCTAGAAATGCAAACCACTTAACCTCTAACTACAAGCAGCTGTAATGATACCCTCGGCCCAGCTCTGGAAATGCCATTCTAAGACTTTACAGGTCTGTTGCTCCATCCAGTCTTTGCTCTTAGTTTTCCTTTCCTGCCTCGTCCATTCCCAAAGACCTCTGGTGAGACATTCTTTAATCTACTCCTGCTCTCATATTTTTCTGTCTTCTCAGGTTCTTTTGGCTTTACATGTACCATGAAAAAAATGTGACACTACCAAGGTAGATTGTGGTTGACTTGAGTTAAAATATAGGACATCGAGTTCAACTTTAATTTCAGATAAACAACATATTTGTTTTTAGCAGGAGTATACCCTGCTATTTTTATTGGTTAATCCTAGTGACTCCAGTTGTGCACTTAATGTATTGTTTGCCTTTGTCATGCTTTTTTTTTTTTTCGTCGTTTTATTTTTTATTATCAGGGATATGAAGAGGGTAGAAGAAGGAACAAAGAGGAAGAATGAGGGGTTCTCAAACTGGAGTGATGATTTCTCTCTTCTTATGTAGAGATGCCATACAAAGCATGGAGAATCATTTCCATGAAGTCTTCAAACTTCTGGTCCACTGTGTTGTGTTTTCCCAAATTTCTAAGTTGACCTGGGAAGTGAATGAGTTTGAAATCAGGGTTCTTGAGCAAACTGAAGTTAAAGTGTCCCAGCTTAGTTGCAAAATGAACAAAGTAGCAATGAGGAGTGTTTTTACCCTGCAGAACAGGTTCTCTGGAATAGGCTCTCTGGCATGCATCATGTGGATAGGGACAGTTCAGTCACAACAGCCAATCCTGAAACCCTTTTAAGAAATGAAGTGCACACTGAGTCCCATGTAGATCCTAATGAATATGAATGGCATCAATTTGGGGGATGTCAATACTAATGATGACTTAGCTAAGTTTAACAAGAATCTTCAAAGGGCTGAAGTTTGGTTTATAGCAACTAAAATTTTTTAGACCTCATCACAACGCTATGTGGAAGGTAGTGTCATTATCCCCATCATGGATGGGAAAACTGAGGTAGGCAAGATTAAATGATTTAGTTACTTAACTAAATTAAGAAGTTGGTTAGTGGAGGAGATAAACTGGTTCCAGGACCTACTCCCCTAAAATCCCTCTGTTTCCGCAGCCTAAACAATCCCTGAAAGCAAGCAATTGAGCTACTGGCATAAGCAAACTCTTCCCCATGAGCACACTCCTGATGGTGAGAGGAGCCTGAGTGTGCCCTTGGCAAGTCACTCTCTTCCCTTGAGCTGTCCAGGTTCCACAGTTGGGTCAGCCAGGCAAGGTTGATGAAATAATGAGGGGAAGTAAATGAGTTGTGAATAAATTATGAAACCGAATGCATTACATAAGGATTCTTTTTAAGAAAGCACAAATGAAAGGTTGCAGGTCAGAGTTTAATCCAACTAAACTAAGCTCATCTTTTTCTTCCTCTCTTTTCTCCCCCCAAGGCTTTTCCTTCATGACCATCCCTGTTACAACCTGCTCAGATATTCTGCTGAGCTCTGAGATCTAGAGACATCAGTGAATGATTATAATTAGATAGCCTTGGCCCTTCTGTCCTCAGCAGGATGAAAGTGGTGTCCCACTATCTCAGAAATCATCCAAACTGAAATGTGAAACGAGAAGGAAAATAATTCCAGAGGGCCAAGAGGATCATTGTTCCTTCAAAAAATAACTTGACATAACTTGAGAAGTGCTGGGAATGTCTGCAAATGCCCTATTACAGAGGGAATAAAGTACTCCACTGGAAACAGATGTGATGTGTTTGATTTCCTCTGATACTCTGAGCTGAAAATAAAGAAAATTACTTAATATGCTAACTCTCTGGTTAAATGGAACAGTCACAGTTTCAAAGAGCTCAGTTTGGAAAGAAGCTTTTGAATAATAAACCATATATTCTGTTACAATCATCAACATAAGAAAAGGCTAGTCATGTCCCAAGACCCATTTGTCCGAAAAGATCCTTCTCCAAATCCCTCAGATGAGCTTTAAGTGTGCAAATGATGGCGATTATTTATGCAGAAATTTGAAACTATTAATGGCTTAATCCATATAAAATCCTAATGAAGTTCTTTGATAATATTCCTGTTTGTACAGCCCAGCAAACAGAGGATAGCAGGTGCCCACTGTGTTCCTTAGCAGCAAGCTATGTAATGAAATGAGACCGAAGGCCCAGTCTTTGTACAGAACACCAGATTATTATCAGGACTCCAGAAATGTGGACATTCAAAGCCAGAAAGGCTTTAGAAAACAACCGGACCTAGTTGAGTTATTCCTCCTTTGCAGCGATTTCCATAAAAGGAAACAAGCCAATGTGGAATTTTTAAATTTTTCTTTTATTATAATTTGTCTTATAGTATTCTAGATCTGAGCAGGAATAGTCAAGTAGAAGGAGGTGGGTTCTGAACACTGTTCATAATCTAGATCCACAATTTGATGAAAAGGATGACAGAGGACACCTTTTAAATAGGCAGGTGCAGGATTACCTTCAGGACAGATTTTTCCTCCATCCTTTCCCATCTCCACTGTAGCCTCATATATCATGATACACATTTCTATCATCAAATCTATGCATTTTGTGTCTTTATTGTTCTTTTTGAAACGTATTGCTCTAGGCTTAAACAAGTGGATGCTGTGTACATTGAGATCAAACTTGTAATTAGGAATTCGGGTGGCAAAGCTCTCCTGAGTGGGTTTTTATGAACCCCTAAAACAGAAAAACAGGATATATAATGCCCACCCACCATCTCCACAGCCAAAATATTTGTCTGGATCCCAAATGCCAGACAGCACTTGCTTTATCTGCTCTTCTATGCCTCTCTTTCCAGAGTCCTGGCTGCCTCATTTCAATAGATAATTGAAATCTTTCTTACTTTCTCAATACTCCGTGGGGAAATTCCACTTGGAAATTCTCTTTCTCCTGTCATTTTTACTTTAGAGTTAAGAGGAGAGGGATGAGCTAGGAATCAGGATTCCTCTCTCTCCCCTTTTTTTTCAAATGACGTAGGGAGTTTGGACATCCTCCCTACCCCCATCTCCCCTCTTTGATGCCTGATTCCTGGAGAATTATAGTTTTCCTTTTAATGCTTGCTGATTACCACATATAGTAGAGCAGCAGGGGCTACCCAAGGAAGAACCTCTGAGCAGATTCTAATCTCCGATCAGCCCCAGCTGCCCGAGTCCGGGGGAGCAGCCGTGGTCCCCACAAGGCCGGTCACAAAGCCCAGCTGAGCTGAAGCGCGATAACATCACACAGAGGCTTCCAGAGTCAGCGGTGCGCCCTGCTCTGCGGGGGCCGCTCCACTCCACCGGGGCTGAGTTCGCCAGGGGACAACTTACGGTGTTCACCGGCCGTCCACGCTGCAAACTCCCAAGTGGGAGGGGGAAAAGCAGCCAAGGCAGTGTCGCGACGAGGAGTAGAGGCAACAAAAGAGGAGAAAGAAGAGGTGCGGGAGGCAGGGAGAGAAAGAGAGACTGGGACACGAGCCCCCGGCTCCCCGAGAGCGCCCCTCCGATGCAGATGGGGGGACTCTCCGGGAGGGGCGGATCTTTCTTGGGGCCCTCTCCGGCCCGCTGCTCAGACAGGTAGTTGGGAGAGAAAGAACAAAGGTGCCTGCGAAGGCAGGCGGCGGTCCCGGGGCGCCCCGGCGGCGGGGAAGGCCAAGACACCCCGCGCCCTGCCCTGCGCGCTGGCGCCCCGACTCTGCGGTCCGAGCGCCGGGCGCCGGTGCCTCCTCCCGCCTCCCCTCTGGCCCCTCGTCGGGGGACTCTGCTTCCGAAGGGACGGGAGGCCGGCTGCAGAGGAAGTGCGGGAGCGGGGGAAGGCCGCGGGGGGGGGGGAGCGCCGGGAGGAGGCGGGGGGCGGGGCGGGGGGCGGGTGCGCCCCTGAGCCACGGAGTCGGGCCGGGTACCGACTGCCATCCTTCCGCAATTTCCCTGTGTCATGGCTCCGGTCTCTTAGCAACAGCCGCCAGTCCGGCCGCCCGGAGCCGCCGCCGCCGCCGCCGCGGGCTCAACTCCACCCGGCGGAGCCCGGCGCGCCGCAGCCACACAAAAGAAGCTCAAGGGCCGGGGACCGCGCGGCTGCAGCGGCCCGCTCGGGGGCGCCCCGGGAGGGGACACCAAGAACTGAGGAGGAGCGCCGGAGGGCAGAAGGGCTCCGAGGCAGGATGCAGGATGCGGAGGACCTGACACTTCTTGGAAACTCTTGGAAATGGCTCCCGCCACAGCGCCGGAGGGGGCTGCGAGCCCAGGGCGGACGCTCGTCCCCGCTGGGCTGCTGAGCAGCGCTCGCGTGGAGGGCCCCGAGGCGCTGTCCCTGCGCCCCGCCGTCGGCTCGGGCTGAAAAAGTTTCTCCATGGTTCCTTTGTGTCGCCCGAGCGCCCGTTCGCCGGTCCCGAGCTTCCCCGGTCTCCCTGGGTAAGTGAGCGATATTGTTTGCTTCTAGTGCTGCCATTTTGAGCACTTCTGTCAATCCCCAGCCCCGGAGCTGCCCCTCCCCAAACCTCCGGTCCCAAAGCCCCGATTTTTCCCTTCTGATGTTCTGGGAGAGAAATTTCCCTGGGCGGGCTACCGGGGATGCGCTGCCCAGAAACAGCGAGTTCAGGATTGCCCTCACTTTGCTCCTGCCTGTCTTCTTTCCAGAAGCGGACTCGCAGCTGCTGCACTCATGTGACTCCAACAGAAATAAGCAGACCAAAGAGAAGGGCGAGGGGCGCGCTGCCCTGCCCGGGAGGGGCTGGGGGTCGAGGACTTGGGTTGGGTGCCTGGCACAGCATGGCGCTCGCAAGCCTGCGGGCTCTGAGCCTCAGTCGCGGAGTGGGGCTTAATCCATCATGAGCGCAGAACTTGAATGTCTCTCTTGGAAGCAGTTGTATTTTTAGACATCACTCCTTTTCTCCCCCCCACCCCATCCTCCATTCCTTAGCCACGGAAAGACCAGCGCCAGGCAAGTCATTTGCGAGGGCAGACAATCTCCACTGCTAAGTTTGCTTTCTTGCATTAAGTCTAAAGGAAAAACCTCAAAGGTGGGTCTTCCATGGGTCCTGACCTTTGTCAGTATTTCCTCAGATGGTGATACATTGGAAAGGAGTTAAGCTTTCAACAGAGCTGGAGGAATAATAAACTAGGGAACTAATTGCTAGCTATTAAACTAATTCTAAAGATCTTCTGTAAACGATTGTTGAAATCCATCCCAATCTTCCCCACATCCTATGCCAGCCAAAGCCGCCTTTCCGAGGAGAAATACATGTGGATGCCTTCCTCCCCCAAGACAGTCAACATCCTGGTACACCTTATCAATGCCTAAACAAAACATAAGCCCTTCTCTCCTGGGAGAGCCACCCTACAGACAGAGTCTGGATTTGCTTCTACAATGTCTTGTCCTTAAAGCCTTCTTGGAGATAACCTCAGACCTCCAGATTATTAAAGATCCTGGAGTCCAAGGGCCAGTTAAAGTAGCAGCCTCTAAGTTGCAAGTACATAAAAAAATGTTATTATGGGTGGTGATGGTGGTAGTGTCCTTCCATCCTTTACATACAGGTACATACACAATGTTTGTACTTATTGGTACAGCTCCTTTAAAGAAAAAAAATTCTAAAGGCTTGCAGATATGTTCTTTCTACTGACCCTTCCTTAACCTACCTAGTGTTTCTTTTTACTGAACCTTAACTAAATTTCAAAGAGGTATTGATTTGCAAACATTCTAAAGAGCTGATTATCATCTGCTTTCCCACATGGAGAAAAGATCCTGCCTATATTGATACAATGAAAGGAATTAGGGGCCAAGGCTTTTCACCCAAGCAACAATTAAAAGCAAAAATTTGCCTAAGTAACCCTACATTTGCAAAGGGTAATTTATTCTAAAACATGATTTATCTTAAAAGGGCTAAAATACCAAAAGACTTGTGAAAGATACCTACATCTTTCAGATTCACGCAATGTCCTTAATTTGAGCATCTCTACTATAGGAGATAACACAACCAATGGGACAGAAAATGTTATACTCTGAGGATTCAGAAAGCCTGGAATTTTAAGAAGTTGACAGATAACTACAGATAGGCCTCTGTGATTTTTTTTTTTTTTTTTTTACTCAGACTCTATTACAAACAACTAAATAAACTTCCTCAGGATAATCCATTGATTATTGCTACTATCCCTTCCCAAAAATGACCTCATGAGAAAAGGATGAAGAAAACAGCTCTCACTTGGGGAAATGCCATCCTATAAATCATCATTATTATGTAGACTGCTTCACCTAGTTAATTGCCTACTCATTTGAATGCTGGGATTCTGTAGACTGCTCTTGGCACATTAATAAGGGGTCAGAAAGCTATTGTGGCAGTTTTATTTTTTTTTAAGATTGTAATTTTCCTACATGAGGAAAAGATTTTTTTCTTGGAGATTCCAGTGGACTTCTGGAATTCCCTGATGAAATTAGCACAAGATACCTTTAAGGAAGTCCCTCTGAGAGGAGGAGAGAAGGCCAGAAGGAAGAGCTCAGTTACATAACCATTACCTAAAACTAAATATTCCACCCCAAGAAGCTGTTCAGATGTTGCAGAGTAAAGATGAGAAGGCTTGAGAGGGATCTGCTTGCCTTTAGCTGTAGGAACAAGAATAGGTGAGAGCAAACTTTGTGAAGGAACTTATTGTCACAGTACTGAAATATGTCTGGTATTTTCTTAGCAATGAATTCTGTTAATTATCTGGAGGAAATAAACTGTCTTCCTGCCAGTGTATGAAGCCTTTCATTTTCATCCGTGAAATGAATTCTTTGCACCTCCATACAATAGTAACTTTCATGACTATTTCAGTAACTTTAGGCTCCACATTGAGAGACTCCTGGGCTTGCCTGAAGACTTGCCACTTCTGTGGCCCCTCCCTTGGGAAATCTTCTGAGTCCAGTGGGACAAAGGAAGAGAAAGGCTCTTGCCATGAGAGTCCTCAAGTCCCCAAACTGAGTATCAATTATTGGCACCTCATTGATTGCCAGCCAAGAGGGTTTGAAATGAATATTGGTGGATTACCTATGTGTGGGGGATGGGATGGGGACGGAAGGAGAAAACTTCTCAAAAATTATTTCATCACCACCTGTCAGTTATGGCAACAGTGCTTCTCTTCACTTATATCTACCCACTTTTGGTCTCTGTACTGGGCTCTTGGACTAGTGGGTAAAGGTTCAGGAGTGTGGGTGGTGGTCACATATGACATGGGATCCGGGATCCTGGAGTGGGGCAATTGCAGCACGTGGGATGTTGCTGCAGTCAAGCCTACACCCTCTGACTGTCTTCCTCTGCTTTGCAGCAGGAGGAGGTGGCGAAGCAGCTAGTGGACAGCTGGCGCCCCCTCTGCACAAGCATCTGCCCCAGCCCCTCAGGCAAGCCCCTATCTCCACGAGTTCGCCATGATCGCCACCGGAGGCCTTCTGAGGATTTCCGCCAGAAAGCAGGATCCCCTCCGCCCCCCAAGCCAGGTCCCTAAGCGCAAGAGGAAAACCAAGAAGAGGCGCAAGAATGACGTGGTGGTGGTGAAAGGCAAGCTGAAGCTCTGCTCCATTTCCGGCCTTATCGCCCTCTGCGGGATCCTCGTGCTACTGGTGGGCATAGCTATGGCTGTGGTGGGCTACTGGCCAAAGACCAACACGGCCAATAGGGAGGGCAGTAAGCAGCTGCTGGCTGCGGGCAGTGCCAACCGCGTCCTAACCACCACCGCCAACAGCAGCAGTGGCAGCAAGAACTCGTCCAGGAGTCACCATGGGACTCCAGAGGGTGTCAACTCCAGTTCCGTGGGCGTGCCCAGAAGCACGCCTCCAGCGCGGTCAGCCCCCCCTCCCTCATCCTCTTCCACGTCGGTGGGCTTCTTTTTCCGCATCTTTTCGGGTTACCTGCACTCAGACAAGCTTAAGGTCTTTGGGCCGCTCATTATGGGCATTGGCATCTTCCTCTTCATCTGCGCCAACGCGGTGCTGCACGAAAACCGAGACAAGAAGACCAAGATCATCAACCTACGTGATCTCTATTCCACCGTCATCGACGTGCACAGCCTTCGCGCCAAAGACCTGGCTGCAGCTGCAGCAGCGGCTGCAGCCGCTGCTGCCTCCTCATCGTCCTCGGCTCCCACCTCGGCGCCCCCTGGGACTGTACCGCTCAACGGCTTCCTGAGCTACGTGCAGTCGCGGGGACTGGAGCTGAAGCCCGGGGGTTGTGGAGGTTCTGGGGACACCTTCGGGGCGGCAGCGATGCTGGCCAGGGGCTCCTGGCCCCACCCCGCGGCACTGGGCGGGGGCGGCGGAAGGGCCCGGGGCGCGGCGTCCCCACCCGACTTGGCCTCATCCCCGCGCTGCCTGCGAGAGCCCCCGAGCCTGGCAGAAGCCGTGTACAGTATCTACCGCGAGCGCTCCGGAGTAGCGGGCCGTCGCCGGGCCACCACCGCTGTGGCTACTGCAGCCGCCACTACCACCGCGGCCGCCAGCGGCAGCAGCAGCCCGGCGCCCTGCAGCCCACCCGAGAGTTGGGGGCGCCAGAGCACCGCCAGCTCCCTCGTGGGCTCCTCACTGAGCGCCTTTGCGCTGCTGCCCTTACAAGGGGACCGCGACAGAGACGGGGAAGCGGAGGGCGCTAGCTGCAGTTGGCAGAGGCCACCCGGGGAACGCGGCTCCCGGGAAATCCCACGGGGCGAGGTTGAACTGAGTTTGACCGACCTTCGCGGCGCGGAGGGTGGCGCGCACTGGGCGCTTGGGGAGCTGGATGAGCCCGGGGGAGCGGCGGCAGCGCACACTGCCAGTGGGCAGGGAGGACGTCTGCCCAGGACCGGCAGGTACGCGGCCTTGAGGCGCCGCAGCACCAGCGGGCTCCCGGACTACCGGGCCCCGCCGTCCCCCGAGCCCCCGCCCTCCCCGCGCGGTGCGGACCTGGACTCCAGCCTTCAGGACACAACCGCCATCCCCTCGCCTCCCCTGCTACAGGAGGACTCGTCCCGTGCCAGGCGGGACTCGGGGAGCTCCCAATCAGATGACCTATCGAGCAGCAATAAGGGCTACACTCCCCTGCAGGAGGCCGGCACCTCCTTGGAGTCGGTGGTGGAAGTAGTAGCCAGTAAAAGGCAAGACTGTGAAGATGCCACCGTTTTGAGTGCGGAGCAGTGTCCCTCAGAGAGTCCCAGCGAGGAGCAACCCGCGGCCGAGCAACCTCAGCCGGTGCAGAGGCAGTTTACAAACAAGGAGAAACTCTTCATGATTTCCCAGTCTCATGCCACAGGAGTTGAAGATGGAGAGCTGGAAAGCACTGGCATTTAGGGGGGAAAGAGGAGCCACAGGGGGGAAAGGAGAGAGAAGATGGAAGAAATACTCATTTGGATTAGTGCATTAACAGCTCCCCAATTCCTTTGTGGACTGGTCTGAGGAAATCATCCAATATCCAAAGAGCTGCAGAATGTTATTCTTGAATTGCATTCACAAGATTCTTGTAGATAACTCCAAGCAAATTTTTTTTTTTTTAAAAAAAAGCTAACTAGTCTTTTATGTCCGATGGTGATTGTATGTTTCATGAAAACCAAATGTATTAAAAGGTCAGCAATCTAGTTCATTAGATAAAATTCTCTTAATTTTCTTAGGATCAAGATAATATATTTTTTACAGTAACTGTGCACTTTACTCCAGTTTTTGTTTTTTGTTTGTTTGTTTTGTTTTGTTTTTGACCCCTAATTTCCCTAACCCTTGTATTTTGGGGCTGGTTTTGTGGATTGCTGCTTGTGAATGACAAGCTTCCTGCCCCCCTCTCTTTGTGGAGCTTTGAAGGGTTGATTTGTTTCAGTTTTCTTAGAATTGATCTTTCTAAATGAATTCAAAGCCCAAAGTATAAGTAATTCAGGAAAGAGCACTCTCTTAGCCCCTTCCCACTCTGCTCATGCAACTGTCCAAAGGCCTCTTTATTTTTTAAAAAGGGTATTTGCATTTTTATACTAGGGTATGTTGCAGAGACTAGAGTGATCCAGAAGTTAGATGGACTGTGAGGTCACAATATCAAGTACACCATGCTTTATTGAGTATTATCACTCCTGTATTGAAAATAGCGTCAATATTTAAAGTCTTTTTTTTTAATAAAAGAAGTTTCCAAACAAACAGTTAAACATAAGATCGCTTCATTTTCCCTGGGAACTAATACTGCTTCACAGTAAACATTTAACAGTTTATCTGATGAATCTAAAATAATTTGCTATGACATTGCTACTTTGACTGTAGTTATCTTCCCCCCAAATATGAGTGAAAGTATGAGGACATCATAATAGTTTTCTGGTATATTTTTAACTTTTAAAAACATAGGACAGTACTAAACAGTTGGGAGTTCCTCTCTTGAGTAGAATGAACCAATGAATAAATAGCATTTTTCTATGATACTTTAAGTTAACCTCAAAGTATTAATTTATAGAGGACCAGGTTCTGTATTCCCTTCCCATCTTCTTGGATTTCATCATTTGATTTTGTTTTTTAGTTTTTGGTCTTGAACCCATGACCCACATAGGCAAAAAGGTAGTGTTTCAGTACTAAACAGATTATTTACATTTGGTGTTATTAAAAGTCAACTAGTTAATGTTCAAGAACAGGAAAGACAAATAATTACAATTCCATTGCCTCTTCCTTTGAGTGTTACCTGAAGAGTTTTGGAATTGCTTTCTTTTTGGCCATTCAGATACAAGTTCTTTACATACAGGAGACTCTTTCTGCAGAAGCCTAAAATACTGATTTCAAAGGAAAACCAGTATAAGATGTGGTCATGTTGGTTTTGGTGCAGAAAGCAGCTGGTCCTGCAGAAATATTGCATATTCAGGATTGAGAGTGGATCCCAGCTCTTGGCATTTGCAATTTTTTTTTTAACATGGCACAGATGCTGGGTCTTCAGCATCTGATCTGTAAAATGAGAACAACTTGACATACCTTTTAGAGCTTTGGGAGGAGATAACAAGGCAGGAGAGGGATTATACATGAAGAGCCTAGTAGACTACTGGCCCAGAGTATGTACGCAAGAAATGGTGGCTTTTGAAACCATTACTACTGTTACAATACATTGTCTGAATGCATGCTGTAGAATAATGAGATTGGACTTCATTGAAATCTGGAATAGCCACTCATTCTCCAATAATCTTAAACAAATCACTTAATCCCTCTGGGCCCTGGAGGATAATATAATCTCTATGATCCCCTTCAGCTCTAAAAGCTTTACTTAAATTCAGAGTATTGGTTTTATCCTGGATATAATCGTATCAAATTTGTGCACAAGACTTATCGAAGAGTGAATATAATTCTTCATAAACTTCCACTTATGTAACAGTCTGTAATGATTTTTTAAAAAAATCTAATTTGTTACCAATTTGGATCTACATTAGGTTAATAACTCACTTAAAGGCTCTGGGTTAATTTATTGAGCTCTCTATGGCACAAAGTGAGTTTACACTAACCAGAGTGACAAGCAAGAATAACAAGACCTTCAGGTAGGGTTAAATTTCAACAGTTCCAATTGTATTAACCCACTTCCCCAAACAAACAAACAAAAGCCAAATTTCACTATGTTTTCTCCATTGTACTGAAAGTGTGTTATTTAAAAGGAGAAATTGGTTCCGGTGTTCTACAATTCTAATCCAGTCCTCAGAAAATACATTATAATGATATTTATCAAATAATAAGGCCATCATTTCTTAGCTTAACTAAACAGGGGTGAGAAGAATAAGATTTATTGTTTATCCCTTACAAACGTTAGAAAATTCAGACTAAACGTGTGGCTTCTGTTGATCTCACACATCTGAGTGCTTTCTGAAATTAAATATCTTCAGCAAGTGAAATGACTTTAAAATCAAATCATTTTTATCTTTTTAAAAAAATTTGGGGGGGGGCTGTAGAGGGATAGCATACCTTTATTTTATTTGCTTATTTTTGTATGCAGTGCTAAGGATCAAACCCAGTGCCTCACCGGTGCTAGGTGAGCGCTCTGCCACTGAGCCACAGCCTCAGCCCCAAGTCATATCTATCTTAACCATTGTGCAGTTTAACCAGTTTTTTTCCCCCACCAGATTTTTTTTTTTGCCTGAAGATAAATTCAATTCTACAAATTTTGAGAGACACCTGGGATTTCCTCAGACTTCAGGAGGAATCCTTTCCAATGATAACTGTGAAAATTCACAGTATTAACTTGCATAGGAGCAAAAATCTTTTGCAATAATAGAGCTAATTGTTACTCAATATTTACTGTGATCTAAATACTGTTCTACCAGCTTGACATATATTATATCAGTTAATCCTCATAACAACTTTATTGAAGTAGGATTGGTATTATCCCCACTTTACAGAGAAAGATATTGAGGTCAGAGGGATGGAGTATTTACCCATAATTACACAACTGGTAAAGGGAGCTAGGATTTTGAGAGTTTTGACCATTGTATGAACATGCTGGCAAATGCTGAGATGAAATTAGCATTTTTATAGATGACTGAAATACTTCATACCTCCTTGGATTTCCACTGAATTCCTTTCCGGAACAATTTTTAGACATATGCAGAGCAATGGTAGAATTACAGTAAGAGGTAAAGTTGGTGTTTGTGTTTTAGTCTTTAGACCAACAAAAGACTTTTTGTGTTTTTTTCCTAAGTGACTTGGCAGACTTTTTGGACCTAATCAATGAAAGGGCATATTTGGAGGGAACTTAGAATCCCCCACCTTGTACTTACAACCATATGTAGTATGATTCAGAGGCAACAAGCAGTGGCAGGCCTCAGATGCTGAAATAATCATGGAAACTGGCAACAATCCCCCCCCCCATTTCTATCATGTTCAGGGATGATCAGGGGCATGTTACTTGTCCTCTCTGTATCTCAGTTTTCCTTTCCATACAATAAGAATAGGAATGGTACACCACAGGACTGGATGCAGATTAAATGAATGTATTTCTCTGTAAAGTGCTTATAACAGGCTTGGGACATAGTGTTATAAAAGTGTCATTTCTTTTATTTCAAATAGAATCAGCTGCTAAATAGAATTATTTCATCCATCCTTCCTTTTTATTAACAATCACTTTAGGTTTAAAAGCTTAATATGTAAGGCAACATAGCATAGTGGCTTGAGTGTGACTTAGAGAGCTTCCAAAGCACTGAGTTTTGACATCTATTAAGTGGAAGTAATAAATGGCATTTGACTTATAGAATTAATTGTTCAAATGAGGGCTAAATAAATTAATATGTTCAAAGGACTTAGAAAAAGTTCTGGCGCACACACAAAGTCTAGTAAATATTAACCAGTAAGGCAAAATAATTAAAGAAATATAAATATTAGACTAAATTCATTATTCAGTTATTACAGACACAACCTTAACTTTACTGTTCTGAAACATCTTAATAACTTAGGTGTATCAGAAAATAAAATAGAACTTAAAAACTGAAAACTTGTACTCCTGCAACAGCCCCTGGTAGAAAGAACATAAAACAAATAAGAACTAGACACATGTTCCTATGGTTCATGACCATGGTATTGTATGACAATGAATGAGTATTCAAATTGCTCATGTGACTGCATTTTGTTTAGGATTAGACCATTTCCATTTACTGAAGCTGGTCACATCAGAAGGGTCAGCAAGCCCCTGAGGTCCCAGTCCTTGTCTGTCAAAAAGTCCTGAGGAAAGATTAGGAGTTTTTGTTTTGTTTTGTTTTGGTACCAGGGATTGAATCCAGGGGCACTTAGCCACTGAGCCACATCCTCAACTCTTTCTATTTTTTATTTACAACAGAGTCTTACTAAGTTGCTTAAGGTCTCACAAAGTTACTGAGCTGGCTTTGAACTTGTGATCCTCCTGCCTAAGCCTCCAGAGTCAATGGGATTACAAGGAACTCCTTTATTTAAATTGTCTTGAAAAAAGTATTTCCTGTTAATTGTCTCTTCACTCATTTTGAATTTCTCATAAAAATGCAGTTTTGAGTATGTTTTGCGGGGAGTTAGAGAATTTAAAAAAATTTCAAACAATATATTATTAGTGCAAACTAAGTAAAAGGATTTGTATTTTATTAAAACAGTATTTTTGCCAAGATATAAAAATTTGTTTTATAGTAATGCAATTTATAAATAAGATCTTCTTGTATTAAGGTTGCAGTTTAAGGTGAATGCTTTCCTCATTCATAACAAAGAAAGAATAGGAGTGACATAGATGGAGTTGGATTTTGATAGACTCAGACTATTGTTTTAATTTTGTTGGGGGGAGGCTAAAAAGTCTTTGGATGAATATTTGAATATTCAGAATAAGTTTTTTCATGAGTAACTTTGAAAGTCATTCTAAGACTTTTTTTTTTCTTCTTTCCAGGGAAACCATCTTTGAGGTTTTTTTCTTCAAAAAGGAATGAGTTTCTTTAAGTGGATATGAAAATTATGTTTTTTTATTAAGCCACCACAAGTTGGGAAGTCCCACTTTAGTCAAACAGCTGCCTGCCACTCTCCAAATTGCTTTTTCTCTGTGTGCCATTTGTCTATCTGTGATGTTTACAAAGCACTGGGCTAGTGTTGGGTCCAGCTGGCTTGAACCACAGTAGGGTTATATATCAATGCCCAGAGTTTTAGCTCATATCCCAGAGCAAGAGGCCATTTAGAGATTCTACTACCTGAAAATATATTGTTATTCACCTAAGTTGGCTCTCACCCTTGCCCTTTCAATAATGCCAGCTCAGATGTAGTCCTGCATGACAAACAGAATATTTGTTATCTCATTACTAAGATAATATATTGAGGTCAAAAGACTAAAAAAGCTCACATACACACCTGGGCTATCACAAAGACTTCCTGTCTCCCTAACCTGTGCTTCAGATCCTACCTTTGACCAAGTGCTAGCAAGAGCAGGAGGCTGGCTGTGGATAACAAGAGAAGACAGGAGGAGGCAGACCCAGGGTGGAAGGAAAAGAGAATCCTATGAAAGATAAAACAGATAAAGTCATGCTAGAATCTCTAGGAACTTTTTCTTGGTCTTATGAAAGAGCACATGGTTACTCTTGTTTGTGGATCATTTTTATATCTAGACAAGAGTCTTAAGATGACAAATTATAATAGCTTTTACTCCTCAGAAAATACTCTTTAGGCAAATGCATGGCTAGACATAAATTTGTATATTTTTCAATATTTAATAAATTGTGATATTGTCAATTCTCTTGATACTACTAGGTACTAATGGTCTAATAATGTTTAATGATTGAAAGGAAATCTATGGGCAAATTTACAATTGTTTTTAAGTTGAGAAACTCAATTATCTGTCTATACTTTCAAAGGAAGAAAATCCAAAGTTATTATTAACTGATGCACTAGGTCAGTTGGAGCCAACCAGGTCAAAAAAGTTACTTTGGCTCAGTGTAGGATTTGTAGAACTGTTTTGTTTTATGTGTGTACTTGCATTACCACTTCATTTTGTAAAGATTTAACTTAAAAGAAAATAACTTCACTTGTAGGGGTAAGTGGCTGTGGCCCAAGCTGCTTCCCTCTTGGTGGAATATACAAATCATTTTCAGATCAGCTCAAGATATATTCCAAACTGCTTATCATGTGTCAAGTAGGTGCTGTGCTTTCGGTACAAAGGAGGAAAATAGGAACAACATAGCATCTCTACTTGCAGGCATTTGCAGTAGAGTTGTTTTTTGAGACAACACATCACCAATAATTTCAATACAGTGTAAGTTAAACATTGCAAGAGTCACGTGGGCCTTCGTGCTACATCCTGAGAAATGAAGAAATGTCAGGTAGGTACAGAAAGGTGGGCAAGGAGTATTGGCATGAATACTTGCAAAAGGCAAACTCAATGCAGCATTCTAGATTTTCACAAGCTAACTTAGATTGGACTTTCCCCTGGTGTCCCCACAGGAGCTGAGTGAGGTTTTTATTTTGAGAAGAACATATCAAAATTATATATTTCTATATCTAAAGATATAGAGAAATAAATATCTTTTTATATATAGTAGAAGCATATTTGAATTAAGATTAAAGTGACAAGGGCATTAAAATACTCATATTCCCTGCATTTAGATATTTAATTATTCCCCATTTAGGACTGACTTCTACTAACAGGTCTTCCCAACTAAGAAGTATCAATACATGGAACTAACAAACCACATTCATATTGGAACTAAGCTATCTTTATGAGAAAGAACGATTTTGGTTAAATTACATATTGCTTGAAAAATAACATTTAATTTAAAACTCCAAGTTCTGGAAATTATGTCTTTAGATGGGCATATAAAGAGATATAACTTGAAAGAAGAATTTGTCACTTGGCAATGTTTTGTGTACAGTTCCTGGATGGTGGGTAATACTGTGTTCATCCTTGTGTAGTGAACATTAGAGACAATATAAACTTGGGGCCTATTTTATCTGGCTACAAGTCATTTTTCATAATCTAGTTGAGATAACTGAAAGTATTTCTATAGATTCCTCTACTGATTTGAAACATCACTTATGTCACAGAAAAACTAACTTGTTTTTGTTAATAGCAAGCATTCCATTCTTATTTTTCCTCACATACGTGTTCAGAGCAAAAGGAAAAATTACTCAAGTCCCAGATATCATGTTGCAAATGAATTTTCTTTGTGGACTGGTACCAAAAGTCTATGCCCTTTGATTTCTAAAGAGCCAGTCAACTGAGGAATCCCTGAAAACAGATTTGGCCAAAATAATGCAGTATCAATGCAGCTTTGTTTACTTACAAATCTGCAAAGAAAAACATATATGCAAAAAAAATGCTTTTCAAGAGAAATATTCTATTAAAGCAAGAGATTATATTAGTGTGTTTGAATTCCCTGCATAATTACTTGATTCTTCAAAATCTTTTTAGATTTTTAGTGCATACATAATCAAGGCAAAAGTATAAGATGTATTTATTCTTTTTTCTAATCCATGTAAGTAAGAATTTTGCAAAAATACTTTATATTACAGTAATGTAATGTAAATTGGATGTTACCAATTGAAGTTTTATTGCCAGAGTCACTAATAAATCTTTCCTAGAGATATAGTTATTGGTAAGAGGTTTAAAATTTGGAATGCTGGTAGATAAAGTGTTGGATAGATATGGTGAGGTAAATGATGTCTTAAAGCAAATAGGATCCTTGATAAAAAGCAAGAAAATTCAAAGGATGAATCTGGTGACCTAAATGCTAATCCTTCTGCTTATGTAACTACACAGCTTGGTGTGTTTGGAACACTGAATATGACTTCCTTGCTTGTTTATTTGATTGTATAATTTCTTCCATTTGTATTCCTAATTTCATTTCAGCTTCATGCCTGAGAACATTTCTTGATTTATGAGTCTTGCTTGGGATTACTACTTTAGGGAAAAATGAATGCATTAATAACAATAGTAATAATAACAATAGGCTTATTAGGGACCAAAAAGTAATTTGAGCAAATCACTAATAATATAGTAATTGTTTGTTCCCCAATTTTTTGAGATATCTTCTCGTGTAGAGAACAAATTGACTGATATCTTTTTGAATCATGCTGCTGAAAAGTCAAAACACAGTTAAATTGTATGCTCACAACTTCCCCATTCCTATATCCCATGGATGTTGGGCAGTAGAAACTTTATTCTATTATATGGTATATTCTAAGTCAGAGATGTGGTGGTGAATACTTTCTGAGATTTCTTTCATTATTACACAAATGAAAATGAAATTTAATAATGCTCTAACTGCCTGATAAAAAATTCCATCTTTAATTAAGTCAATGGCAATTAAACATGACACTTACCAATAATTTGAGCAGAGCATCTGGCCAGGCTGGAAGAATGAATCATGTTCAATGGAAGCTTCAAATCATAGCAAATAAATAAATAAAGTGAAAAAAAAATCCCTTCAGGCATGATCAGGGTCATGAGCAAAAATATCCAAGTTGTTGTGTGGCAACTCCTAATGCAACATAATTTTAGAAAATTATTTAGTGATTGTATAAATGTGACATGCCTGAAAAAATGCTAATTAAACTGGTTTACACAATGGTTGAGATGTATAATTATTTAGCCATGCTCCCACAGTCATTTACAAAGAAATTGTAAATTCCAGTTCTAAAAGTCTGTTTTGGATTATAAACACTGGAGCTGAGGGTTTTATGTAGACTTTTCTCTCCATTGAAAATTATGATATCTGGGTAGTGTCACAGGGCTGCTTCACTCTTCTCTGATTTCACTGACACAGTTTAGGAAGAGCAACCTCAACAGTAATGATCTACACCCTCTGGTCTTTGCCCAACATCTTTCAGCACACTTAATTCATGAAAAAAAAAAAAGACAGGAATAAGATATTAGATTGGCCTCCAAATGAATAATTCAGTCATTGTAACTTTTGATTCATAAACTCTCCTTACAACCTTAATGGGAGCTGATGGAGTAAATGGTTGCAAAGATGAACCACAATGCCCTGTTAAAATCCAGAACATTTTAACCATAATGTCTAAAACTAATGAATGCCTGAGATTGATTTCCAGATTCTGGCTTGGAATTGTCAGCTTGGGAATCTACAAGTTGAAATGTTGAAATGAAAATGAGGATGGATGATAGAAGCACTGGTAGAACCACTTCCTGGGATTTTCAGTTGCAAAACTTATGAACTGAAGGAGATCCCAGAGTCGTGCTTGGTGTGTGTGTGCACACATATGTGTATCAGTGAATGACCCACTGAAGCATAAAACAGGCCGTCCTTGAAACTTACTGCTTTATTCCAAGGTCTGTAAACAAGACAAAACAAAAAAAAATTGCTTTTGCAAATAAATCACATAGCATAGTAACAAAACCCTCCCTTCAAGCAGATAATAGGACTGACAAGCCTTGGGTGACATAGGTCTTATGGCAAAATTAAGAAAATCAACAAATTCCAAATCATAATTTCTGCCTAGAATTCTGCCCTAGCCCAGGCTTGAGAATTAACTTGATTGAATTTATATTACCAAAGCAAATACATGAGACTCAATGACCACTTTCATGATCAGTTTTTATATTTTATTTCGGTTTTTATATCAAATGGTTTATCTTCTCATTATGCCTACCATAGTCAATATTATGACCAAGAGTGAAAAACCTATGTTCTGTAATTCTGGCCCTTGCCACAAAGACTTCATAAGGCTAGGAAAAAGGCCCTGCAAAATCAAGTGAACCAAACCAATGTCAATTTCACAGGCATTGGAACTGATTTCAAACTAATTTTTCATAATTAAATTAAAATAAACTAGGAATAATTTAGTTGCTTAATTTGAACATATGTGATCTCCTCCTTCCTACTCTAATTAGCAAGTTCAGAGATGGTCAAAATAATTTTGAAAGAGCTTAGGTTTGTT